GAAAATAGGGAAGGGTGGAGGGGGTGAAGGGAGGACAGGGAATGGGGAAAAAATAAGAACCAAGATACATCATGTACAGGTACAAGCACTCAATGATAAATGTAAATGTATTGTATGCCTAAAATGTACCAATAAGAGAATTTAAGCAAAAAAGAAAAACCTCACTAAGGTTAAAAGTTTTGATATCTAATGCTGTTCTAGGAACAGATCCTCAAGGGATGGACCGGGGGGTTTAATGGGGAAATTCCCCATGATGAATGTTATCATTATGTATATCTAAAATGTACCAATAAAATAAAAAATAACTGGATATCTACATGCAAAAGATTGGAAAAAAGGGGAGCGGGGCTGTGGGAAATGAGTCCATGGGACAACCTTGTTGCAGACCTTCCCGCGTGCCAGGCTTCTACTTCAGACGAGGAGCTGCAGGGCAGATCAAGAGATTTGCCTCTTCCTGTTGCCACTGCCATCTCCCTAAACCCTTGACCAGGTTGTCCCTGGGGCCCCCAGTCAAAACACTGACACTATGCTCCCACAGCGTGGCACAATTGTAGGCTGGTTTGACATAATAGAGATCAAATGAATGAAATGGCCACTCATTCTTTATTATCGAGGGCATCACTCACTCACTGCCAAGAGCACCATCCAGGCATCTGTGAGGATGCAGAGCCCCAAACCATCTGGCAAAGAGGAAGAGGCATTTCTGGCTCAGGAAAGTGGATGTTCAGTAACTTCTTAGCCCTGGCTCCTGCACTGATCAGCTTAGCTTCAGGCCATGGGAATTTATGGAGGGGAACATGAGATATATAGATGTCTAGTGAGTGGAGTCACTAGCTGCCCTGTGTTCAGTGATCCTTTCAAGAATATTTGCTCTGTGATCAGTCTGGCAGAAATCATCTCCCTTGTAAGAAAAATATTGCCTTGCTGACTGTCCAGTATAATAAAGATATTGCCTTCCCTTGGATTAAAGGACAGTCAGGCCCGCACTATATCAATGAAAGTTTTCTTACAGTTGCATCCATTGTAACAGATTGGGGTAGCCCAGAATAGGATTGTTCTCCTGGAATGCACCCTACTATGCATTCAATTGTTTACATCTCCCTCTGAGAAAGGCTTCAGGATTGGGAATTAAAATTTGAGGAACCAGCACAAATGAATACTGACACTCTGACTACTGCTGTTTTTGTGAGTAATAAACTGTTTTTCATCTCTGACCCAGGAGTTGTGTGTCTTCTACCAGCATCTATGAAGTAGTAGCAGGCTGACCTGTGAGCTTGCAAGTAAGGCGGAATCTCAGACCCTTTATCCTTTTTTTTTTGTACTGGGGATTGAACTCAGGATCTTGTGCTTGCCAGATAGGTGCGGTGCCATGAGCTAAATCCCCAGTTTCCTTTATAGTTTGTGAAAGGCATTCTTTCTAGGCTTATTGAGATTATGGAATATGTCATATTGTATCAGTGACTTATAACTGGATGTAATTCTCATGATGCACATGAAAATATGAATAAAAATTTCTTTCTGCTGGATTTCTGGTCTGTGTCACTTTTAAGATAGTTTTAAATTTCTATTTAGAAATTGAATATCTTTGTTACAATTCAAGACTTAGTATGACAACTTATAGATTATCACAATTTTCCTGGAAAAGAAAAATCTACTTACCTTCCGTGACATCCAACCTGATTTTACCCTTCTAACCATCTCCAGTAAAGAATCCAGCCTTTCCAAAATTCCCTTCCTGGAAGACAGTTCTGCATTTGTTTTTATAAGCAGTAGGTAAATGAATGAGTCTTATACATTCTAGCCAAGATCTTTCTGAATCCAAATATTATACGCTTCTTGCCATATCATTCATTTTTCCATAATAAAATGAGTAACCATTAATGTATATTGAAGACTTATTCTGCCCAGATGCTCACATAAGAGATGCACATGAGTTCTGTTCCCTAACTCTCACAGTAACTCCATAGGGTAAGCTCTAGTATCATTTCCATGCAGACAAAAAAATAATGGCTTAGAAAATTAGCTAATGTCTGCAACCTACCACAGCTAAGAAATGGTGGAAAGGGATTCCCTACATCTGTCTTTTTACCTGTTAGACCACACTGTCTCCCAGGGGGTCCAGCCCAGGTATTATACAAATAACACAGTTGATGAAGGAGACTTCATTGAAATAAATTATGCCACCCATAACATAGTCATTTTAGGTTGCAAAGGTGACCTAGAGCTAGTTGCAATGAAATGAGAATTACATAGTCTTGATTCTCTATTGTAAAGAGTTTTAAAGAATAAATAAAACAGTTATGTCCTGTTACATTTTTTCAGACTTGATATTTTGGCATTTGATGATGTCTTTACATCAGCTGAGAACTTTTCCCTCCACAAATGATGAAAATTCATTTTGGCTTGGCCAGATGGAGAATATTGCTTTTATAGTTATGATAATGATAGTATACAAATATTTTAACCATAACATAACCAGGAATCCATTCCCTCTTTTATTTATACCAATGCCTGGTATATTTAACTACCAGATAGCCCAGTTTCCTTACTGACACAAAGTTTACCTTGCACTATATTCTTTCATTTGATTCCTTTGTGACATCTTTTGAATTCTATCCAGTAAGTCCTATATTATTTGAGCTTCTGTGTATGCCACAATATTTATGTCCTTATTCTGGAAAAAAGGAAAGAAAGCTTTATCAATACCTCTGAGGTATGTAACAGTATTACAGAGGCAGCGTAGTAAACAAAAATGAACAGAGTAGTTCAAATACAAGTCTGTGCTCAGTTTTAAAATTTATTATTGGAGTGATTTTTGTCAAGTTTCTTAGTTCCTATGAGTTTCAGTTTTCATCTGTAAAATGAGATGGTGTTATTTCTCTCATAGTCTTTGTGAGGATAAGAGATAACATGTTTCGAAAAACTTGCCAGAGTACATGCTCAAGAAGCTCAACAGGATTACTTAGGAAGAGAAGAAGATGATGAGAGACTCAGGAAGGGCCCTGAAGTGCCACAGAAACTCCATAGAGAAGGAAGAGCATCAAAGAGAATTGAGAAGGAGAGCACAGAGGAGGCTTCCGGGTTGACGTACCGCAGCTCCCAGTGCAGAGGAGGAGGCTTCCAAGCCAAGCTACCACCACTCCCAG